CAATTGACATTGAAATTGCATACATCAAGTGGTGCTGGTCGGTAGTGTAGTGGTGCAATGTTTTGATTTGTGCTGCTCTGCTTGTATTGGTAACGCTAAGAGAACTCAGTGTAAGCAACATTGTAATTGGCCGCTAATGACTATTACAGTGAAATGTAATTACCAAATTTAAATATTGTACTGATGATGCAACTATGGTGCATATATTTTTAGTGGCAATTAAATGTTGCACCGCTGACATGTGCGCAAGCAGCAACAGTTTTAGATTTTTTATTTAATTAGGCAGAAAAACAACACAGTCTGGTATAAAGTCTATACAGAATGATTCAATATAGGATATTATACACTATTTTACAGAACATATGTTCAAATGATTAAAACAGCGTATAAGAATAAACAAAATTTTATAAACTAATATTTTGTTGTATGAGTAATCAGACTATTTTGGTGTCCAAAACGAATATTATTCAGAATAACATTAAAGGCAGATTGGATTGGAGAAAAGCCGCAAAGTGACTGCCAAAAACACTTAAACACATGTTTATATATTATTGTAAAAAAAAAAAACAAAAAAAAAAGTATATAACTAAAATAAAAATAAAATTTCTATATTTTCTATATGAGAATATACAATGAATATAAATTGGTACAATATTTTTACTTGAGTTTATTAGTTGGGAAAACTTTTATGACATTTTGAAGTCACACTCTTATATGCCACAAAAACAAAATTGTAAAACAACAAATAAAATCATTTAAATTTATGATATTGTAAATGGCCACATGACGTATGAGTAATATGTTAAATTTAAGTTACGAATACGTCATGTAGGCCAAGCGAATAGGCAAATGAATATACTTGTAAATATTGAAAATATAGACCAAAAATTTAGTAAGTTTGTTTTTCAGGTGATGGGTAAATAAATTTTTGAAAAATTCATATAATTTATTTAATTCGCCCTTTGTGAATAGAAAAAAAAATAAATTTATATTTTATATAAATTTATTTTCAGTTAAATTGATAAATCTTTGAAAATACTGGGGATTACCGTTGGTGAAAGAGTTGAAAAACATCATTTGTATTTTATTTTTCATTTTATAGTTTATGATGAATCATAATAAATTTAAAATCGATACAAAACGCATTTTAATCAAGAAAAAAACTTAATTATTTAAGACTATATAAAACTATAATTCATACCAGTAAAATAATTAAATGTATATTATTAAATTAAACAATATCTGGTGTAAATATGAGGCATAAGTTTAACAAAGAGGGCCGAAAAAAAAGTAGTACGAATAGAAAGATGTAATGTATGAGGAAAAAATAGAGAGAAAAAAGTGAAGGCAAAGAAAAGAGAAAAACAAAGAGAGAGATAAAAAATAGGAAAGAATGAGAGAGAAATAGAGATAAAAAACAAGGAAATTGTGAGAGAGAGAGATAAAAAAAATAAGGAGAGAATGAGAGAGAAAGAGAGATAAAAAAGACAGAAAGAGAGCGATTAAAAAGAAAGAAAATAATTCAAGAAAGACACAGAAAAGTAAAATGCATGACAGATAAATAGAGGCATATAAAAAACCAAATGATAAATAAAAAAAGGTAAAATAATAGATATAAAAAAATGAAAGAGATAGAGATAGAAAAACTGTAAAAAGAAACACAGAAAAAGAGAGTTAAAGATAAGGAAAATGAGAAAAAGGGAAAGATAGCGAGGATGGGAAAGAAAGGGAGAGGGAAATAAAATGAGATAAACGCAGTAAGTTGTATTTAAGAGACATAATTGAGATATAAATGACATAAATATAAAAGGATAAATATAAATATAAAAAGACATAAATGGAGAAAGAGATATATAAGATAGAAGAAAACAAAAGAAAACAAAAATGATAATGAAGGTAGAAAAATAGAGAGATATAAATGTAGAATTAAAATGGAAACGGGAACATTGGTTATCAATTCAATCTTTCCATCTCTCTGCAAGGGAGACAACGATAAAGCGATAAAAAATGAGACGATGTGAATGACACAGTTATAAAGTAAAACAGAGCCAATAACAACTTTAAAAGATTAATATTGAAAACCTGGAAAGGACAGAAAAGACCTGAATGTATTATAAATGTTTTAGAAAAGAGGGAGTAAAAGAGACCTCGCTTCAAAAAAAGTGATGAAAATTACCGGGAAAGACGGAGTTATAAAGTAAGAGAGACCCGGGCACAACATTGAGAGATTAATGTTGAGAAACTGAGAAGTACAGTCGAAAACTGAATCTAATTATAGATGTTTAAAGAACCAATGAAACCTATAACATAATAATTTGAAAAAGTACAACTTAAAGTAAATAAAGCAAGTTAATTAAAAAGGAAAAATAATAGTATACTATAAACAACAAAGCGATAAAACGCGAATACCAGCTAAATGAAAAGAGCCAGCTTACAAGCACCGAAAAAGTGAAAAAAAGAGCAGTAAATAGTAAAAAAAATAATTATAAAGAAAACTTCAATTATAAAATTTTTTTGATATATAAACTAAGTACATATTGTGTACATATTAAGTAATTTCAATACGCAAAAAAGAAAATACTTTAGTTTTCATGAATCCAAAATAGTAAATAAGCAAATAGATAGGATGAAAAATATAATTGAAACTGGACGCATATTTTTTTAGCAATAATAGAGGCATTTCAGTACATAAAATATGTCACCCATACAGAACAAGTATAACATGATATTATATGCCATGTAAATATTTAATTTTTTCGCAATAAAATTTGTTGAATATAATTAAAATTTGACTTCCTATTTGGTATTTGAAGAAACACAATAAACCAAAAAAAGTATAAAACTTTTTGTGTAAAACTATTAAAATAAACGATGACAACGACAACAATCAACACTTACTTAAATGTGTAATAACAATTTGATATAAATTGTCTATATGTATGACAACAAATTGTAAGAAATAATGATGTACGCATAAAAAAGCCATAAAAAAACACTCAGTTTTATATTCAAAAAGAGTATTCACAATAAACCCAGACACAAATTTTATTAACAAAAATATTGTAGCTGCAAATAGTCCAAAACGTCGGCCAATAACGGCTTAAATCAGACACAACAAAGACATGTGTGGCAGCAATTAAAGCCAATGGCTTAAATGATTGACAGATTAATTGTCGAACGCTATGTCAACAAACTGTCGATAAATGATAAAAACTCCACAGAAATGGTAAGGCAAGGGGACACTTAAGAATTTCGATAATGGTACTATGGATAAAAAAAAAGAGAGCAATGGAATTTTTAATTTAATTGAAATAAAAAATAATATTGTTTTTAAAAAATTTTCCAGAAAAAATTTGTTTAATTATAATTGAAAAATTAAGAATAATTTATAACTTCCTTAACCGTACGAAAGGCAAAATTATTATGCATAGCACGAGTGGCGAGCACACTGCCAAACTCCAGACTAACATTTGTCTAAATTATTATTATTCGTAAGTTCAAATTCTTTGGAATAATGCAAAATTTCCACTCATAAACAATAAGTGTCTGAGTAAAATATTTGCAACATTGTAAAAATATTTTTTTAAATTGATTTTGACCAAAATTTTTGGCTAAAAACAATAAAAAGAATATATTTTCGCCAAAGAAAAAGTTTGAAAATTTTTTATTAATCATTGTTTTTACACCACAAAAATCAATTAAAAATGCTAAACATGATTTGAGTAAGGAAATCATAGCCTGGCTAATGGTGTCAACTCTGCTGTTAAAATACACTGAAAAAAAAGTAGACTAAAATAGGCTACTACAGTACAGCTTAGCTATATATGGAAGCAGAAATTTTTATTAACTAATATTAGTCATTAAACTTTTATACACATGCTATTAATTATTAACGTGTTAATTAAAAACAGATATAGTATTACGTATATATCTAATAAAAATATAATTGAAGCATTGGTTTTTAATTAAAGACAAAACTCATACGAACGAACGAACAAACAACTCGAACAATCAATGCACAAAACAAACGGAATATTTGTAAAGAATCTACCTCGATACTCGAAAAATGTGCAATTGCAGATTTTGACATTTGATTTTGTGTTTGATTTAAATTAATTGAATTACATTCCAATTGTTGTTGCTGCTGATGTTGTTGTTGTTGCTGCTGCTGTTGTTGTTGCAGAATAATCGGACTAAATGTTGGCGCAGTTGCTGCATTGACGGTAGATTCAAAAGTCATTGTTGCAATAGGTGCCGCCGTTTGCAACATCGGCTTTGAGCCATAAGCATAAAATCCAGCAACATGTTGCGTTTGTTGCTGTACTGCGGGCTGCGCTTGTTGTTGCGGAAGTTGCATTAAAACACCGCCACCATTAATTGGCTGTTGCTGCAGCTGTTGTTGTTGTTGTTGCTGTTGCTGTTGGTAAAAAGATTGCTGCAAATTCCCAACACTTAAATTAGTTGGCTTCGCATATAAATACGGTTCAAATGTTTGTAAAACTTTGCGTTCATTTTGTTGCTGCTGTGGGCCCTGCTGTGGGTTATTACTGTAATAAGTACCTCCAACTTGTTGTTGTTGTTGTTGCTTTGTTACTTGTCCTAAATGCAATTGTTGTTGTGGATAAGCTGCCATCACTGTAGGACGTTGTGTTGTAGTGAATGAAGCTGAATGGGTAATTGGATTGCGACGTTGTTGTTGTTGCTGCTGCTGCTGATGCATTTGTTGCTGTTGCATTTGTTGTTGTTGATGTTGCGGTTGATAAGCATACACCACTTGTTGTTGTTGTTGTGGATGTTGTTGAAATTGCGTTGTAGTAGCGTATATTTGTTGGGGAATTGTCGTTGGTGCAATATATTTATTTTCTTTATTAGTGCTTTTTTGTAAAAATGCTGCTAGACCTGTAGCAGGTTTAGGTTGTGTTGGTAATTGTTGTTGCACTAACTTCTTAGCAACATTTGTTGTTGTTGTTGGTACTTGTTGTAATTTGTGTTGCTGATGTTGTTGTTGTTGTTGTTGCTTTTGCATAAAAGGATCAATACTACCACTCATAGCTGAACAAGCAAACGAATTCCAATTTAAGAAAGGACGCTTATGTTGCGGATAATTTTGCACATGTTGTTGTTGTTGCTGCTGCTGTTGCCTCAACATATTTTGCTGTTGTAAATGTTGTTGTTCTGGATTTTGGTGATGCTGTTGTTGCGGTTGTTGTTGCTGTAGTATACACTGTCTTTGATAAGCAGTTTGAATTTGTGATGTTGAATTGGATTTTCCAATAGGAAAATTTTTCTTAACAAATTGTTGCGTTGCTGCTGTTGGTGCAGTTGTTGTTGATGTTGCAATACTAGCTATTGGTAAAGGTATTTGTGATGCTGTTGTATTTGTTTCTGTAGTTGTTTTGCTTATGATTGGTTTGCTTAAATTTTGCAAGGATTCTTGTTTTACAAGCAATTTATTGTCTGTTATTGTTGCTGATGTTGCAATTGCAGCAGCAGCTGCAGTCTGAGCAGCAGCGGTAGCAGTTGTTGATGGTGTCATTGTTAACGTTGATTTATTATTGTTGCTTATTTTTAGCATGTCAGCTACAGATTTTTCTACTTTATTGTCGGTTTCTTTTTGACGTTTCGACAATTCTATATTGGCAGCACTTTGCGTTTTTGTTATTTTGTAATTGCTGTTGCTATTGCTGTTACTGTTGTTATTGCTACTTGTGGTACCTGTTGTTTGCTTTGATTGTTGTTGCTGTGCTTTACTATCCGCTGCAGTTGAAGGTATATGAAATGATGACGTAAACTTTGATAATTGCGGTAGATGTGTAGCGCAGCAATTCGTTACTGTCACACTATTTGTACTGATCGTGCTATTGCTTTTCTCGGACTTACGTTCGAGGGACGGAGATTCTGTTGCTTGAGCAATATCGCTAATTGAGTTTGTATTCTCATTGATTTTTGCTAGTTTAGGTTGCATATGCTGCTGCTGTTGCTGTTGTTGCTGTTGTTGCAGTTGAGTTTGTTTTTGTCGCATCATTAGCTCATCACTTAAGGGTGATGTTGGTTTTTCATTGGGAGCCACTAAAGAAGTAGTCATCGCTGGTGCGAGAGGTGTTGCTGTTGACTTATTTGCTAATTGATGCTGGCATGAGTCAGATGCATGTAAATGTGACTGACTCATTTGAAAGGGACTATATTTAGTTGAGGCTCCAACACCTAAAATACTTGAACTAGATGAACTTTTCAATAGGCCGCGGTAGGGATTCGCTATAACTGCAGTAGATGTTGATGACGCATTGCTATTAATTGTTGCGGCTGCAATTTTCGGTTGACTAATTTGTTTTGCCACAGTTGTTGCATTAGAATTTGTTTCCTTTTGCTGTACCTGTGCTGGCAAGAGTATAGCAGTGTTTGAAGTACTACGAGTTAGAGATGGTAAATGCTTCATATAGGTTGGTATGTGTGTTTTGCTATTGGAACGAATCAAATTATTTGTCATGCCAATACTCTGTGGTACCCCAACGGAGGGTACATGAAAAAGTGAAACACTTTTGTTTAAATTAGTTGTCATTGGTTCAGAAATTTGCGGATTATTAATTTTTACTGGCACTCTGCTTACGAAACCATTCGGCGAGTTAAAAGTAGTGGGTCCAGTGGTTTGTGGATTTTCATTGCAAATCAACTTATAGAGATCTTCCTTGGTAACTGCTTGCCTCACTTTCATGTCCAAATGTGATAGAGAAGCATTTTTCTGCAATTTGTTGGGTTTGTATAATTCTTTCTGCGCTGCCTCTGCGACAGTTGGATCAAATATCGCCAACTTCTTTGCAGTTTGTGCGTCCACCTTTAATGGTGCACCTGCTGCGCCTAATTGAGTATTACAAATTTTCTCGTAATTCCAAAAGGTACGTTTTGGTGTCTGTCGTTTTTGTGATGAGGCTATATTCTCAGTCCAAAAATCATTCATCAGTTGTTTATTTAATGATAAGTTTGAACCTGTTGTTGAACCATTCTTATCTTGTGCATCTAATGGTGTTGATTGTGGTAAATAGGAGTGCATACTTTGATATAATTGTTGCGTCGAGTGTGGCATATTAGAACTAGATACACTTCTTTGTAGTTTTGGAGCTTGAGTAGTATTACTTGGCGCCCCTAAAGCAGCAAATATAGAGGGATACGCCATGCGTGTTTTATGTGCTTGATTTGTATTAGGTGGAGTTTGTTGACTGGACAATTGGTGACCAAAATTAATGGATGAAGATTTGCTCAAGTTATTATTTGGTAGGTAAGCACTACTTGTAGGTAAGGCTGGTTGCTGAGTCTTAGTAAAGTAAGCAGGTGTTACATTTTGTTGTGAGTTAGATTTTGACAAAGGTTGTTGACGTTTCTTCAAACGCTCACAGAGATCTTCACATTCTTTGAATTCTTGATGTATTTTCTTATCGATTTCACTGTAGTCTGGCAAACTCTTCAAATATTTATTCATCATTTCAATTTCGGCATCGTAAAGATTAGCATCCATTTTGGAATTATGTGCAGCTGTGGCATTAATTTCATCTAATTCCTTCTGTTGGGCAATGAGTTTATCAAGATCAATTTCAGACAGCGGCTGCGTTGTAATTACCGGCATTTTGTTACTATTTTGATTATTTTGAGCATTCACAGTTGGTAGTTTGGTCGTGCTCCGAGGTGTAAAAGACTGTTGTGTTGGATGTCCATACTTATAACTTGAATTATTTCTGACCATTTTTGGACTAGCATTTAACAGTTGTTGTACATTACTGCTAGAGTTATGTTTTGGTGCACGACAAGGCAGCGGTGGTGGTGGTGAAGTTGAGGGTGTAGAAGGCGTTGAGTTTGATGAGGATAATGACAGACTAGATGGCGGGCTAGAAGTTATGGTAGCCATCATTCTAGGTGGCACTGCGGGTATAGCAATTGGTGAAGTTATAGCACCTGTAATGGCATTATAGGACAATGGTGGATAGTTCTTACGCGGTAATGGTGGTGTTGATTTCGGACTTCCAGGTAACAGTGATCGATTTTTACGTATTGCTAATGGCGACGATATAGGTGAACGTAGACCGCTTTTTGTTTCAGCTTTACTGGACGACAACACCGTAGCGAATTGTGGTGACATTATTTTAAAAAGTTGTTGCTGATGTTGTGGTGGTGTTTGACTAAGTTGATGTGGCGACTGATTGGTAAAAGATATGCAAGTGGGTTTCTGCATATTTTCCTCTTTACTAGGTTGACTAATGGTTTTATGTGTAGGTGTCGTAGTAGCCGCCAGCGTATTACCTGTACTGCTTGTTGAATTAGACGCCACATTGCCATATGATATATTTTTTACAGCAGATTCTTTACTTGACATTGTCGTTGCTGTGTGCTGATTGCTAGCAACTGGTGACGGTGTTTCATTTGCAGCTTTTGTTGCGTTATTTGTAGTTTGCAGCAAGTCATTTTCACTCATTTGGTATTAGAATGTTTTTTTTTATATTTTTATCGAAATGCAATGCAAGTTGCATATGCGTTTCTATGTGTTGTTATTGAACCAATATCACACAAAAAATGTTTAATTAGTTATTCACTATATTTTTTTTATATATGGCAGATGCAATTAAAACTAAATAACAATACTTTATCTGCAGATAAAAAAAATTTTAGCTCATCTATTTTTGTCTTGTTTGGGTCAGAAAATTTTATGTATAATTTAAGTTCAAATTACATTTTAATAACAAAAATAGAATCATCATCTCTCGAGGCGCATTTTGTCTTACACTGTGATTAATAAATTATTATTAAGTAATTAGTACATATCGAATATGGACACAAAATGTAATTAAGTTAAAAATACTTTTATCAATCTTATTTAATTTTAATTAATTATATAAACAGACATATTAATTAAAAATTATAGCAATCTCCACGAATATTTTGTATAACTACTAATCAATTTTGCATATTATTCAATGATAATCAGAACAAAAATTTGTAAAAAAATTTTGAATATTATATATATACCTACATATATTGAAATGCCTGTTTCGAAGACGAGCTTTGTCTCCTTTGTCAATCTTAATATGATATCGAGATAAATTCTTCTCAAAAACATTGAACAAATATAAAAGGATAGACAATCACTTGACGCACGACAAACACTTTTACTGACGACACTGGCACATTATTCCAACATATATAACCAACCTGTAGATATTGTTCCGGTATTTTGCTATTTTTAGGTACAATAATTTTCTTGATAATAATAATTTTATCACCTTCAATCTTCTGTATGGTAATTGGTACACCCATTTGTGGGCGTAAAGTTTTCAATTGTTGTTGACTAACCGGCACGGTGCGTATAGCCGTAACTTGAGGTCCTGTTAGTATACCACCAGGATTTGGTTTAGTAGGCATTGCTGTAGTTGTGGCAGATTTTTGTAAATTTGTAGGCGCCGGTTTTGGCTTTGGTTTCTGTGCCGGTTTGTACTCCTTGTTGTCACTGCGTACTATAGACAAATGATACAATGGTTTATCATCGTCGAGTATACTTTTTTGTGGTTCTGTCTTCTTTTCAACCTTACGCAAAACAACACCCAACATTGGCGCAACATTTTTCTTAACTGTTATGGTAGTTTTTGGTGGTGATACTTTTTTTAAATTTACACCAAGTTTAACTCCAACTGGTGGTGGCGTTTTGGTGCGATGTACCATCTTGCCGGTAGGTATTTCTCGTTTTATAGTATCCTCAACAATTTTATGTATTTCGGCTAATGTTAGACCAGATTTCTGTACAGTCTTTGTCGCCGGAGATTTTGACTTTGATTTTGATTTTGATTTGGATATTGTTTTTCTTACTCTCTCAAATGTTTTATTTATAGTATTTTGTGACTGCTTTAGACTTTGTTCCGGCGGGGTCATCGATGTATTTGATGTACTCTCTTCAATTAAGTCAACTTTAGCTGGCGGAAAAACTGCTGTTAAGCTATTTTTACGTGCTTCCATATTTGGAGTTGAATATGTTTTGGTCAGTGGAAAAGCATTTGCAGCTGGCACTTTAACTGTTGCTGAAGTGGAGACTGCTGTTGCATCAATTGAATTACTCGCAATACTACTACGGCGACTAGCATTATTACTAGTATTTACTGAGGCTGAAATACTGACAGAACCAGTACAAGCTGAAGCACCAGAGCCAACACTGCTAATACTGGAACTATGTAGACGATCTGGTGCCAAACTTCGTTCATAATGTATTTCACGCAGAGGTGGTGAATATGAACGTTCACGTTCATGTTCATTTGCAAGTAGCCGCTCTCTACGTTGCATGCGTATCAACTCAATTGAATCAGCAATAGAAGCTTTTTCTGCGGTTTCAGATTCATCAATCGACGAATTAGAAGTAGAACATTTGTTCTGCATTTTATCAACAGTTGTGGTCTCTTGACCTTTGTGCAAATTCTCAGGCAATTGCAGTTCTAGTTGCGGTTTTGTAGCAGTAATATTAGCAGCCTGTGAGTCAACAGCGGTAAATGTGTCTAGCACAAGTTGAGCCATACCATCGTCAAATACATTGGGCAGTGATGTAATGCGATCACGTAGTGCAGAGCAGGGTAAATGTTGTGCTTTACTTTGCTCTGCATATGTCTCAGTGGGGCTAGGGGATAATGGTGTTGTTGCTATAGGTGATATAGACGTAGAGGCAGCAAATTTTTGGGCTGTAATTGCAGTCACTGCTGTAGATGTAGGCGAAACACTTAATGATAGTGTTGCCTTTTCTAACGAAACACTGCTACTGGTGTTAGGCGTCAAGTCTTTTGTCGTTGCTGTTGTAGCTACCTTTATATTTGCGGTATTTGGTGATTCATTGGATGTTGCAGCTTTGCGCGCTAAAGCAAAGTCAGTTGCTGTCATCTGTTTGACGCTTAAACGTCGTTCAGCATTAACCATAACAATTTCAGTGCCTCCATTACTAGTAAGGTCGGGGCAGCCTAGCGCGATTAATTCGCTCAATTCGTTCGACATTTTTTTTTCCTTTATAGAGTATTTTATTTTTCTTGCAAATCGGTTCACCAAAATTGTGTAGTGTTGTGCAGTGCAGTGCAGTGTCGTACGTTCAAGGTTGTCACTGATTTTTTGAGGTTTCAATTGTAAGAAAAAATTTCTTAGCCTTAGTCTTAGTTAGTTATAAGTTTAAAGCGCGGTTCGATATTTCTATGAACATTAATTAAGCGTAAAAATGTAACACTTTTCAATGTTAATAAAGCACTTTCAGTTCTACTAATTTTTTTTTCTTTTGTATAATTTTTAGTTTTTTTATAATAATTTGTTTTTATCTTTAATTGTGATTATTTAACTATTTATTTTT